CTCAAATGACGGTACTACTTGGTGATAGGCAGATCCACAAATAATGGTACTTCTTGGTGATAGACAGATCCTCAACAGCTTGTACTCCTTGGTGATATACAGATCCTCAAATGATGGTACTCCTTGGGTGTAAACAGATATTTAAATGATGGTACTACTTGGTGATAGACATATCCACAAATGATGGTACTCTTTGGTGATAGACAGATCCTCAAATGACGGTACTCCTTAGTGATAAACAGATCCCCAAATGACGGTACTCCATGGTGATAGAAATATCCACAAATGATGGTACTCCTTGGTGATAGACAGATCCACAAATGACGGTACTACTTGGTGATAGACAGATCCACAAATGACGGTACTCCTTGGTGATAGACAGATCCACAAATGATGGTACTCCTTGGTTATAGACAGATCCTCAAATGACGGTACTCCTTGGTGATAGATCCTCAAATGACGGTACTCCTTGGTGATAGACAGATCCACAAATGATAGCACACCTTGGTGATGTCCTTGTTCAATGTATGACAATTAGTTTTAGTTACTGCAATCACGTTGAACCAAAGCTTGAAAAACAAACTAATAATATCGTAATTGCAATACGTCAATTGCAATAGGTGAACCTATTCAACAGGGTTATAATTTTGAAATAGGAAGTGGAGCATGCATATGCTAACATATTATTAAAAATCACGTTGACAATTTACTTTGGTGAATAAGCTATTGTTCATTTGTGCATTAATAAATATCATTAAATATTTTTATATATTTTTAAATTGCATCTCACCATTCTCAATATGCTTTAGTTATTTTGAAAAGCTAATCTCTAATACAAACCTTTCGGAAGCACGCCGTTACCAAATTGTTTGGAAAGCAATTTCTGTAAAATAAAATAAAGTCTTCACGAGACAAACTTTAAATTCAAGTTACAATCTCTTGATTAGAGCATGCAAGATTCTTTTAAAAACCCTGGTAATTCATTTTAGAACTCATTTAAGTTGGGTTAACCGTAGAGTTCCATAATCCTGAATTTCCATATGCCCTTTACATATTCTTACCAGTGAAACACAATAAAAGGGAAACAATGAAAAAGAAACATAAACGAAAGCGCTAGGGACATTTGAAAATATCTTTACCATTCTAGATAACCTTCCTGCATGTGTTTCTCAAAGTGAATGCTTCTTACTTTCAGATCATAAGCTTGCTACATATACCAGATTAAGCCGCATGACCATATCTACCTGATAAGATCCATAAGCGACTCCATGGCATCGGCTTTCTTGGCGGATCCGCTCTTGTCTATTTTACTGCCCTTTTTCCCTGGCTCGATAGCTAAAACAAGGATTATTCCGAGAATGACGGCGACAAATGTGGTTGAAAGGTAATATACGACTGACCGCAGTCCCATCTTGCCTGAAGCCCGCGAGTCTAGTGATGCCAGCGAAGATATCAAGCTAGAAACGATCAGCGGCAATATGAGCATTTTTAACATGTTCAACAACAAGTCTCCGGGAAATTTCAAGAAAAATATTTTTCTTTTATCGTATGGCTTCCATACGTCCCTTAGTCCCAGTCCTAGTCCAACCCCGATGGCTACAGCTAGTATCATTAGGATGATGAGCAAGTTGTTACGCAGGACTTTTTTCGCACTCTTTGCAAACGAGCGTTTCCCCCCTTCTGATTCGTCTCCGGCCATGATAGAGTTGTACCCAGTATCGTCCTTGTTGGTTACAATGAACTGTGTTTCAGCACACCTGTAATTATATAATAGTGTAAAATATAGAGGTGTCAGGTAGATATGGTCTGCAGATAATTTTACATCCAATGTTTACGTAGCATTGACAAAGACATATTCAAGCTGAGGAACAGAACAACCACAAACTTCGTTACATTTTGGAAATTTAAAGTATAATTATGAGAATGTATTTTATAAAACTAAGGACAAAGAGACGTGCAATTACTGATCAAATGTAAATGTGAACAATAATATACACAAAGACCAACAGCTTCTAATCGATAACAACTACACATACCAAATACCAATCGACACTTTATAATAGCTGAAATCAGTCGACCAGCAACCATTCAAATATAAAGAAAACGCTACTCGTACAGGTGACCAGCAACCACTAAAAAAGAGAAAAGAAAACACAACACGTACAGGTGACAGGCAACCACTCAAATATAAAGAAAACGTAAAACGTACAGATGACAGGCAACCAATGAAATGCAAATTGCTTGCTTCAAACAGGCGAGTAACTACCACCCATGTGTAATAACAATTATAGAAATCAATGGCAATAAACTACATGTCTTGTGTAAGTAACAACTACGCACACACGAACTACCACTCATGCTTATATCCAGACAATACATAGGACAAGTATTAAATATAGCCAGATATCAATAATAAGATTAGCAGGTGACCAGCAATGATTTCAATGGTCATTTATAGGTGGCTCAAATTTGTGTGTTTTACAACTGTCTTAGTTTGCCTCATTTAAGAGGAGTCTACGAGACGATAGAAGTGGGCGATGAGTTAACACTCACATACAGCTGAAGATAGGGTATGTACATACATTTTGTAAATTAAAACACATATCGAATGGTGTCTTTCGGATCAAAATCGCAATATTTTAATATGTATGTATGAGTATACAAACGTACAATGTGTGGCTGCAATAAAAATATAGACATAACAAAACGTCACTTGACGCACAAATCGTCGTTTCCCACCAAGCACTTTCACATGAGCTGTTGACGGACAACACAGGCTGATAACTATTTGTTTAGTAATGTTAATGGGTACCATCGTGGTCTCTGTCGAAAGATATGAAATATCATTGTTGAAACCTTTCATTAGGCTCATTTAGTCTGCCTTGTCTCCGTGTCACTTCCACAGTTCTGTCTTTAAACATTTCTTGTATTTGACAAACATTTTAACGTGCGTACTGTCAATGAGGCATATCCTTCTGGAACACTATGGTAAATCTCTCCTATTTTGTTAATGTTTTGCTATTACATTTATTGATTTTGAGGTCTAATTACGGTATTTTTGACACCTAGGCATTTTATGGTTGCTATTCATTTCGTTTGTTTATAATTTTTCAATTCCAAACAAAATGACGATTTAAGTATTTAAACCGACGACAACAGAGACGTAAAAACAACATGTATGCAAAAAAAAATCATTTTTGTCTAATGTATGTTTACTTAACATAAGCTCCCTGCATACGCTGCTTTGCCCATTAAACACAAAGATAGAATACTGTAATAATATTTACAGTTATATCGATTTTGTAATCAGGATAATTTAAACACAAACACTACCATATTAATGTAAATTGTGCTGGAATTTTACATTAAGAGAATACTGTATGTCAGAAACATTCTACTCCTGCACAACAATATGAAGCAAATACAATATTTGTCTTGACTTTTAGCAGTTACTGTGTTTAAGAATGATTACACAGATTTTATAGTTATACCTGTATAATGCCGGAGTAGCATTAAACAGAGTAAACACAGACACCAGTAGTCAGACATACGGCGAGGTTACTTACTGGTGTTTTATTGCGGTCACACATGAAATTATTGGCATATGTATTGAAATCGTGTAATAAAATATGTATTTCTGAAACGGCATATTCATTATTAGTCATCGTCATGCTATTTTTGTTGTCGTCCGTCTCACCCTTCAGACGCTATCTTAAGTGTTACCAGAAGAAGTACGATAGGTGTAAGATAAATAGATCTGACCGAGTCATTGATAGATAGAGATTATTGGCATTTCTAAATATTGAGTAGAAAACATCAGCTGTTTATATTTTTAAAACGACAAACCAATTTGACAGCTGATGCTTGTTTACATTAAATGGAATCATTAAATCATTTTTCCGGATGACCTGAAATGGAAAACGCAATGTGAATGAGTATATGTTACCTTATATTAACACAATACAAAGTTTTGATTTACGTTGAAAAAAAATGACATTTTCCGTGTGTTCAGCCTGTATATTTTATTCGTGACAATAAAGCAAGTGAACAAACTATATTTAAAAAGAGAGCCTTTATCTGCCTTTAAAATCGGTCTGATGTAGCCTCGGGACAAGCAAAAAAAACATTAATAAAAATGATAAGGGTCGTTAAGATTCACAAATTGCTTTCATATATTTAGCTGAACCCGCATTGACGCCCAGTCAATCGACATAAGTAGTTATACTCGTTAACGACGACAATGAATACAAATGGTGTATATCATACTTCTTCAGAAACCCGATTCAAAGTACAGTTTGTTGATCCACTGTAGAACTTACTTCGTTAGCTTAATGCTAAATAAATCCGTTTATGTGTGGTAGATTATTTATTATTTAATAATTTAGATTTTAAAACAGAAGTGTGTGCTTTTATGGTCTCATTCATATAACATCCTTACTAGCCTTCAGAATGTGTTTTAGCATATGGCTTTTAATATACATTTTGGACCAGGTGAACATTAAGCTAATACATAGAGACAGAAAAACGTATGTGTCCCCTTATCAGCATGTTCGCTTGTTTTACTTTTGATGTGAATGTGGTGTTCGGTTCATACAGGTGTATTGAAGGTTTCGTCAAAATATATTCAATTGTCGAAAACCTATCACCCGGACACGGTTTTGCTGGAAATTTGACACGTGTGTGACCTTTAATGTTTGGTTGATGGTGATGGTGGTCTTAGGCAGTGCACATATTTTTGGATGATGTTTAAAGTTCGATCTAGATAACATTTACGGTTTAAAAATAGGTCAAAAACAATATCAAAATAGAAGAAAAAGAAAAAAAACCTGTATTAAACTTTGAAGCTCATATCTCTGAAACTCGAAGGAAAGTCTCAAGGCAATTATCCATTTTAAAGCGAATTGGTAGTTTTTTTAACCAAACAAGGTAGACTTGCAATTTATAATTCTTTTATTGTTTTAAATTTTAACTATTGTCCTTTAATCTGGCACTCTTGTTCCATGAACAGATACAGGAAAGAGCTTTAAAGTTTATACATAATGATCACAACTCATCCTTCAGACACTAGTCTGAAGGATATGGGTGGTGAGGTTTTTAAAATTATAAACAAAATGTCTCCTGAATATATTCATAACCTTATAAATATTAAGATGTCTAATTATGACTTTAGGAAAGAAAATACTGCAGAGGTGCCCAGGGTCAACACTGTGAAGTATGGAAATAACTCGTTTGCTTTTGAGGCCGCCCGAGTGTGGAACAGCCTCCAAAATGACTTACGAAAAGTTGAAAACTTCAAAGAATGCCGGAGGCTGTTCCATTCCTGGGGTAGCCCCATCTGCCTTTGCAATATCTGTAAAAGTGATACTTCATACTTTGCCCTGGCTACCTCTGCCACGTGATGTTTTGGATTGTATATACTATTGTTGTTTTATTTCATTTCTAATATGTATTAATTCTATTCTATATTTTTGCAGCATCTTATCCGTATTTTAATTCCATACATTCTAAAATATAAATTATACAGAACTTGACAAATTGTGTTAATTGATGTCGGTATCATTGTTTATCAATTTATTAGTGTATATTCTGTGAATTTTTATTCTATGCTATATTAGCATTGTAAGTATATTCCACTTCATAGTGTTTAATCCTAAGCTCTAAGTAACTATTGTGTGATATACAAGTATTCATTCACTATTATCTATGTCTTTTATTAACTTATTCTGAATACTACTTATCTGTGATCACAATTATTGCTTTTCATATTAACACTATTTTTATATATTTATTGTTTCAAAAAAGTGTCATATCCCGGGGGCCTTTGTAGGTAGGGGACTCCCAATTACTTAGAAACCTGGTATATGCTACTTACTTCTTCTGTGATAATTAGTACTGCGTTTTATTAATATATGTGATTATCTCCCTTTACTTGTAATGTAATGTGTTTTTGTTATTGTACATATGTTTGTCGCAATAATAGCTCTCAAGACAGGTATGCGACTTTAAATCAAGTTTTTCAGACAAGTGTCTCGTTTCTTTATAGTGTATTTGACGGGGAGACACGACTAAGGTAAGATCAAGTACATGTAGGTAGAAAAGTAGGACGTGCTGATCTGTTTACAGGTTATGTGCCGTACATTTCTTCATTCAATTTAATGAATAGGATATCAGGTTGACAAGGGAACATGGTTATACAATTACATTGTCGAAAGTTGTTTACCTAACTAGTCTTTTGTCCATTAACAGCAAAGTAGATATATGTGAGTGAGTAGGAACTTAAACATACCATAGGGTAGTGAAAAGCGTAATACGAACTCATAATCGGAAATGTGGGCAAGATATGAACAAAGAACATATTTAAAAGGATTCATTCGTATTTAAACACCACTCTTTTTGTATGTAAACAACATATCTAAACTTAACGTCTTTCACCACATGATGTACGAAACTAAGATTTGAGATGTTCGCACCTCATTTGAAATTTGCAAATGAAATGTTCGTACCATAATCATGATGTTTGTACCAAGATCATAATGTACGTACCATGCGAGTCTCCAAATGGAGAAAAGTGTATTCTGTCTGTAATTGCATCTTGAATTTGTTTAATTTGTCGTCGAATTCAAGTTTTTTTTCAAATCCATATTATTTCATGTCTTAATTGTTAAAGGTTCCTGTAGCACAACCAAACAGTTTTTATATGTGAGTACGTGTGTACTCTGTCACCTTCATTTCACATGATGTTGTTTCTCTTTACGAA